CAGAGCCTGAAATACAGTCTCCTAGAGGTCTCTGAAGAAGGCACTGGTGATCAAGTGGATATAGTTATCTAAGCTGCAGGTGCACTGGATAGTCCACGCTGAGGTACAGGGAGTGAGGAAGGCTGTTGCAACATGTTATACCTTTTGGGGATGGAAGGTGCCAACAGACCTTAATGGCTCCTGACTGGCCTCACCTGGGGCCTCCATCCACAGCCTCTGTCCATTGGACCAGGGCTCCATTTAAGCTCTGGCCTTAGCCCTTGCTCCCTGCTTGGGCTATGTTGTAGGGGTCTATAGCTATAGACTGGTTTCAGTCTTGGTCTCCTTGCTGGACCTTGGACCTGCATTGTATCCTTGTCTTTAATCTTGTTTCTGCCTTCAGCTTCTGGATGCAATTCAACACTTTATCAACAGGCTTGTGCTATCTGCCTGTTCCCACCATGCTGAAGTACTTGTGAGATTCTGCTGTAGTCACTGCTCCCCTCGAGCCGATTTGCCTTGGTTCTTTTTCAAGGCAAACAAGGGGATGGGGCAATGACCTATGCTGTGATGTTGAAGTGGATCTAGGTTAAAGCCAGAAGAGTATTTGGGTTCTGTGGTGTAAGCTTTCCAAAAGCTTTTAGGAGGACTCATAAAATAAATATTAAGATTTAAAAGTCCTTTAGGGAAAATGGTGCAGGTAAATGGCTTGTTTTCCTAATGGGCTATCAGAGCACCTCAGAAATCTATTGTGGCATCTGTATGTATAATCTCTAAGTATCTGGAGAAGGTGAACAGCAAAGTGACAAGCTGTAGATGCTAAAATGAAGCCTTGAGATGGTTTGGACTAAAGCTGATGCATCACTTAGCATGCATTAGAGGACAGGCTCTGTGATTGCAAGCATTTTCTGCAGGAAGCAGCTACTGTTCGGTACTGTGCAGACAGGGGTCAAAGGAGTGAACAGGCTATGAGTGGTGATGGGGAGTTCTTGATTTTCTGGAAATGGGTCCCACTTGCACAAATGGCAAACCACTAGAGAGCAGCATTAGACCAGGACTTCTGTTATGTGCCTGAAAAACTTGTGAATAAAATAAAGCATTAGCGTGATGTTTGCAGTTGAATGCTGGTTTCAGGTCAGTCTGAAGTTGCACTAGGGCAGGTTTAGGTTGGACATTAGGAAAAATTTCTTCAATTAAAGGGTTCTCAAGCATTGGAACAGGCTGCCCAGGGAAGTGGTTGAGTCTCCATCCCTGGAGGTATTTAAAAGATGGGTAGATGAGGTGCTTAGGGACATGGTTTAGTGGTGGAATGGCAGTGTTAGGTTAATGGTTGGACTTCATGATCTTAAGTCTTTTCTAACCTAAACAATTCTATGATTTGGCTCAGTCCTTGGGTCCTTAGATACTCAAATACTGAAACCAACCTTTGTAGCCCCTCTCCGGGAACCCAACTTTCCCTGTGTATCAATTTCAAAAACTATAGTAACGTTATTTTCAGCCTACAGCTACTGCAGACCAGATAAAGCCAAGTTAGCTGTAAAAGTTTCAGCTTATTCTTGTCTTTAGGCACCATCTCAGGTTAAGACCCACTGACACCTCTAGTTACCTCCAGTGCAGAGCCTTTTGACTTGTGCCTCTCTTTTTTAACAGTATGGTATTGTTCTGATGCTGGAAAGGTAATAGGTAAATGGTGGTAAAATAGCAGAGATCACACAGCTGCAGGAGTGGTTTGAGAGGAACAGAGTCCAAACACACTTTGGTTTCAAACTTGTTTCAACACATCTCAGTTAGTAATTACACTGGAGTTTTTTCTTTTAAGGAATAAATCTTTCATTTAAAAACATTCCTAAAATGTGGAAACATGTCAATATATGCTATGGCACAAGATAGTTTAACCTACAGTAAAATTGACTAATTATATTAAAACTAGTGTTCAAGTGTTATGTATTGAGCATATACCATATGTTATGTATACACTATTATTATACTATTATTAATATTATTGTATTATCATATATATACTATGCTTGATAGTAACCTTTTCTCTGAAAGGTTTGCTTTTGCTGGCTGGTAACTGGGTCAAAGTAAGGACTAGACACCAGGGACCAGACTTACAAAACCTTAGTTTCATGATTGTGATCTTCTCTATAAAAGCCAAAACATTTTTATTGAACTTGTTCAAGGTCAATGACTTAATTATTCTAAACTGATTAACTGACCAGCAACTGAAAAGCAGGAAAGCTCCTTTTCTTCTCCCAATCAGTAAATAATGAGGCATGGATGCAAACTTTCACTAATCCTAGCATCCTGAAGGACACGATATCTGTAAACAGGTAACTGTTTAATAACATAATTTTAAACACAAAGGAAGTTTTGTGCATGTTTTCATTGTTTAACTCTTTTCAACCTGTTATACTATAACAGTTTCATTTAATGGATAAAAAGTTATCTAAAAATGCTCTTCAGCAGAATCTGATTTCTGTCCAAGTGCAGCATCGCATAAAATAGCTTTAAAAAGAATTGCCATCTGGTGAGGGCAATACCTCCTACAACTGTGACTTAAATAAAAAATTAGGACTCTTAATGTAGTATGAACTGACCTGTTCAATCATCTAGAGACACCATGAAGTCTCCCGAAAAGTAGTGAGCTTTCTTAAGGAGAACATGCAGCTTAGTTAAGCCAACTGCTTGTTCACCAGCAATTGTCTGCATAACCTTTGGTGCGAATAGCTGGGAAACAGAGCATTAGGGAGATATTCCACTGGGTCCTTAGACAACCACATGGCCTGAATTTTGTTTCCCTTGAGGTTTATACACTCTAATGTGCCCTCTGTACTTTCTTCTTATGGAAAGATCATTGGACTTGCTCTTCCTGTTGCTTCTGATGATATCTATTATTACTGATACAGAGCTAGGAAAAACCCTATACTTAAACACCCACAGGTGTTTGGTTTTTCTAACTTTGTAACCTAATATGCCAAGAGGACTTGGATTACATGGTGAAAGAAGTGCTCATTCTCTGCCGTAGAATGAAGGTGAAATTAAGTAAGCGTCACTAAATGTGGTAAACATCGTATTAAAATTACTAAGAGCAGTGATAAAATCTGGCAGATCAAGGACAGTGTGGCTAAGAATGAGAAATGTGAAGAGTGTAAGAAAAGGCATACAGGAGAAAAAATGCAAGTTACAGCTGTGTAATCCAATTATTTGGATAGATAATGAGACAGAGACCCGAACATTATTCTGCTGGAATGTCAAAGCAGACCGTGGAGACAAGCAGCATCAAAAAGGAAATTTGCATTTACGAGACAACTTCTGATAATGTGTTATCAGGTGCTATGAGACTTTGGTCTATTAATTAGCCTTGAAAAATACCCAGTTCTTTCTGGCAGTCAGGAAAATGAATTAAATCATGGGATAGATCTCCTGACTCGGGTTACTCTGGTCTGTGGTCTGCAGCTGGAGTCAGTAAGGTATTAAAGCCTTCTAGGGGTTGGATATGCAAATCTGCATGGCCAAACTTCAAAGGGCCCTTCCCAGCACTAGGTTCTCCGCAGTGATCTGGTCTTGTTCTCTTGCTTTTATTGTCTAATACCTCCTGCTCTCTCCCCTCTCATTTCGTGATGTGTAGCAGCAGAAATGTGCTCCTGTGACTCCCTCTGTCTCTTTTGAACCTGATCTTGAATAGACACGAAGGTTGCTCGGAACTGTACAGGAGGACCTCTGGTTATCGGTATAACAAACTAATGAGGACTTCTGAACTTCCTCCTCTTATCAGCCAAAGCAAAGGGGGTCCTTTATGTCTGCGCTTTGTTATTGCAGTATAATCTACATGGAAATTATAACTGTAGATGAATTGTGGAAGTCACAGAAATGTGGAATATTTTAGAAAGTTTAGGAACAAAGCATTAGTAAGCTAAAATGAAAATGTTAGTAGCAAAGTTTTATATAATATCAGCTAAAATTTTCCTAGCAAAGTACTCCTTAAAAAAAAAAAAAAAGACCAGCCTATACATCTATCTGGAAAGACACCCTCTGCCATCTCAATCTTCTGTGAACCACATAGATTCCTCTGAATTTTGCCTTTGCAGGAAATTCCAAAGGTTTTCTTGCTTGTTTCTAAAAGACCTGATGCAGAAATTCCTGAGGGTTTTCCGTAGCACCTAGGTATTTGTGCAGGGGCTGAAACTGGGAGGAGAAAGCAACACCTGCCTGCCTATGGTGGTGTTCATGTGGCTTCAACATTAATATTCCCATTGTGTGGCTTACTCTTACAGTGTGGGTTTTCTAGGATCCAGCCTGCCTTTCTAGGCTTGTTTCTATTCATGGATATCAAAGGAAGGAGGGCTTCCCAGAAAGTGGGAAGCCAAAACTCTGGGAGCAGGTGGTTCTATTTATTTGCAGACTTCAGGAAGACACACAGTCACTGCCAGTGATGATTATATTGCAAGATACAGTATTGGAAAAACAATTGCAACCAACAGTCAGATTCATCTCTGGCGCCAACAACTTTCCAGTGCTCCTGGCCAGCACTGCCTGGCTGAGAGCTGCGCACAGAGCGGGCAGGCTGACAGACGGGCTCTGCGGAACAGGCTGGCTCCTGGCAGCAAGCTCAGGAGCTTCCAGGACAGGTAGTCAAGTGTGGATGGATCAAAGAGTTCCTTGACATTGAGTTTTGCTGTAAACAGGCTGCTCCTGGATATCCTGTCCCTTGGTCAGCAGCGAGGGGACCTGCAGCAGCTTGTGGGTTCTTAGAATTAAAGATGAGTCACTTCAAGGTTGCTGGATTTTCTTTCCTATTGCTCCACTTCCTCTGTTTTCTGAAGATAAATAAGAAATGAGAGCCTGGAAATTCTCTTGAGAGGTCCTGCAGCTTGTTTGTTTTGTAAAAATACTTCTTGTTATCTAATTTTGTTACACTGTTAACAACAGCAGCAGCTTTCCCATGAAACCTGCCCCAAGTAAACTAACCACAGCTTTGAGAACTGAGCTGCAGAGAAGATCATCTCAGAAACTTGAGGATGAAGTACTTTCTTCTGCCAACTCATTTAGCATTTCTCTATAGCTTTGCACTAAGTAAACCTGTCCAGGTGTGCCCCCGCTCTCAGATGTTTAGAATTTACACTGCTGCTGCTGAGTTGCTCTGACTATCGTAAAATTAGTTACAAACTTTTACTGTTGTGATACTGTATGATAGAAGTTTTCTGCTATGGAGATAAGCATGTATTAAAATATATGTTTTTTCTTTTTTTACAGATAGCTACAAGAAACAATGACTTAGGTGAGTTTGCTGTAATTATTACATAAATAACTAGATTTTGGTGGGCCTACTTCTCTATACCTCATTCTTATTATTTGGTGTATTTTTCTCTTTGAAAATATTTTCCAGCGTCAGTGGAAAACAATTCACAGAATTCAGATGTGTTTTAAAGTCACATTCAGTGTGATTATTTATGCTGTTGTGATAAAGAAATTAAGAAGACTTATTGAGCAATTGCTATGTGGAATGTTCTTTTCCATATGTAGCCTCTGCAAATCAGAATGCTTTTCACTTTGATTTCTTTCCTATATGATATAAGGCACTACTACCCTGTCTGCTGTACCCAAGACTATTGTACGTTTTTGGCAGAATAACCAACAGCTCTTGCATGTGAGAAATGTATTCCAAGTATTCTGGAGTCAGAACTGAGGAGCATGTCACAGTGTCTTATGTCAAATTAACAGTTAACCTGGAAATGAATAGCTCACATGCATTCCATATGGATGATAAAAATAGTAATTTCTTTTGTATGATTCATCCCATTTTTACAGAGGTCAGTTATGATTTTTATTTAATTCCACAAGTTCTAATGAAGAGAACAATGACTTAATAATACTCAGCCTTCCACTCTGAAGGCTTCCAAAGCTTCTTAAGCTAAAATATATTTAGTCACGACTTTGAGTACAGCTGCACTATGACATCTATATTAATACTAATATTTTCTATCCAGGAAGCAAGGCAGACCTAACCAGTCTTAGCATATTGTAAATGCTAGATTCACTCAGTCTTAATTTACTAATCCTGTTTCACATTATTGTGAAACGAACTTCAGTGAAAGAAATTTCCACAGGTACAAAAGCTTGGTTAATGTATACCTCTCATCTTTCTCTTGCACATCTATTTGCCTTCTCAGTGCCTTGTATGTTCTTTATTTTCTTCATCTGCCAGGTAGTGAAATAGCTGTGTACGAAGGAGACATCCTCTTGAGAAGAGGACGACGCAGTGCAATTAACTGTGAGAGTTGTTTATGGCCCAAGTCACAAGATGGACTGGTTAAGGTTCCAATTAACATCTCTTCTGATTTCTGTGAGTCTATGCAAATGGATGCTGTAAAGTTAGCATTGATCTTCCGGTCCCTATACTCTCTGTTATTTTATGTTTCTGTGGCATGCACCAAAAGCAATCTTTGTCCAAATGAGAATGTATTGACATACCTCTTTTGCTAATCTGTTAGCTCTATGGTAGTTTGGCTAAGACTCCAAACATTTCAGTTACAGACACTAAAATATGTTGTTACTTGGGCAGTAGTTGTTATATAAATACCAGCTAATTAATTTTAACTACAAATATTAGCTTATTCCTGCTAGCTACAATGCGCTTTGATATTTAGCAAGTGCAGAAGAAGAAATTTAATTTGTTCACATTATGAATGTATTTTTGCCAAAATGACCACTAGGAGCACTTTTTTTGAACACTGTAATTTTCTTTCAAATCTCTCATAGAAATACTCCCACACAGAAATCCTGTAGAAGCAAAAATGGAAAAGTCCTTGGAGATTTTTTTTTTCCCTTATTTCCCTCTTGTCAGTCAGTAGCTCTGTCCCATGCAAAAGGCTGCAGGACCGATGCCTTAATCTAGAAAATTTTGTTCCAGAAGACTTCATATGGGCTGTGTAGTCTTCCATCTCTCCCCTGCTGAGGCTTCTCTGGTCTGAGGCTTCCATACAGACCCTTCTTAAAAGACCTTACCTTGAGAGAAAATGGCATGGAAGTGAAATACAGCCTGTGCCTGACTCCCCTTCTTGGGGAAAGGGATCTGTGTTAACATCTCAGCTGAGGAAAGCCCAGTCTTTGCATTATGTAGGCTGCTCCTCTGCCCATGTGTTTCCAGAAATGCAGCATGTACCCTTGTGCTTAGGTGAGGGTTATTCCATCCACCTCTCTATCTCTAAACTTTAAAGAGGAGGAAGTTGAGATACAAATCAGTTGTAGCTGATTCCTAACTGAGGAAGCGAAATCAGGCCAAAATGTTCAGAAGTAGATAAACACTCTCATTTTTATTTGGTACCTGAATAGAAACACTGTGATCTTCAGAACCTCTGAATGCTGGCTGTCTTAAGTGATTCTGAGGAGGGTGTGGCAGACATTTGTTATCTCTGATAAACTAAATAGGCTTTTGGTGCTTAGCTATACTCAGGTGGCTCATTTGGGATACTTTAATCCAGTTATTTATATCTGAAACTGTTTCATTTTTTCCATTCTATCTAATGGAAGAAACGATGCCAGTCTTGCTTTCCATCAACTTTCTCCTATAGAATATGCATAAGGGCCAGCTATAATTCTTACATGTCCCCTTAAAAGTCCAGTCAACTTGAAGACCTCTGAGGGCTTTGTGCCCTTTTATTATATTTGCATGATAAAAAGGAAACAAGTGCTGTGAAGCTTTAGAGGAATTCACCCCATCAGTGCACCTTGGTTTTGATTAACTGAGGAAGATTTCCCCCGGCCCCTTTCTCTTTCTAGCAGTGACAGAGAGGTCTTGGATTGATGATGCTCTGCGAGAGATCTCCACGCTGACCTGTGTGCAGTTTGTAAATCGCACTACAGAAACAGACTACGTGTATGTTGAACGTGGGCAGAGGTAAGCTCCCTGTCTCCTGGGAGTGGAAGCACTCAAAAGGTCTTTCAGTTTCTTTTCTGTTTTGATCTGGATTTAAGTAATTGCCCTTTTTTTATCCTAGGAGTCAAGATTCAAAGAGCAGGTGAAATTTTTCATTTTTCTTTAGATGTGCTGGCAGTTACATCAGTTAATAGGCTGCAGGAATAAATATGTGTGTGGACTTAATGGGGTATAATTCAAAATTAGGTATTTCCTTAATTGTAAAAATTTAAAGTAGTATAATTGTTTCAGGTTATTTGCTTAACTACTTGAACTACTTCATCTTTGTTTGATACAGCCATTTTACTGTTAAAATTTGCCATACTCATCACAAAAGCCTTATTTCTCCCCCTATGTAGTCTGGCAGCTTTTAGAAGACTATTTGCATGTCCCCTTCTGTGGCTGAGGAAACAAGTGCTGTGAAGCTTTAGAGGAATTCACCCCATCAGTGCACCTTGGTTTTGATTAACTGAGGAAGATTTCCCCCGGCCCCTTTCTCTTTCTAGCAGTGACAGAGAGGTCTTGGATTGATGATGCTCTGCGAGAGATCTCCACGCTGACCTGTGTGCAGTTTGTAAATCGCACTACAGAAACAGACTACGTGTATGTTGAACGTGGGCAGAGGTAAGCTCCCTGTCTCCTGGGAGTGGAAGCACTCAAAAGGTCTTTCAGTTTCTTTTCTGTTTTGATCTGGATTTAAGTAATTGCCCTTTTTTTATCCTAGGAGTCAAGATTCAAAGAGCAGGTGAAATTTTTCATTTTTCTTTAGATGTGCTGGCAGTTACATCAGTTAATAGGCTGCAGGAATAAATATGTGTGTGGACTTAATGGGGTATAATTCAAAATTAGGTATTTCCTTAATTGTAAAAATTTAAAGTAGTATAATTGTTTCAGGTTATTTGCTTAACTACTTGAACTACTTCATCTTTGTTTGATACAGCCATTTTACTGTTAAAATTTGCCATACTCATCACAAAAGCCTTATTTCTCCCCCTATGTAGTCTGGCAGCTTTTAGAAGACTATTTGCATGTCCCCTTCTGTGGGGGCACATCTGGAGGCCCTTGGTGGCATAATCAGTACATCTATTTCTTTGTATTTGCCGAATATGATCATTTTGGTTATTGGTTGCCTATTCTTAGCTGCTGGTCTTACTTTGGAAAAATTGGAGGACGTCAAGCAGTAGGCCTGGTGAAAAATGGTTGCATGGATAAAGGAGCAATTCAGCATGAAATGAACCACGCACTGGGTTTCATCCATGAACAGGCACGGAGTGATCGGGACAGGTTTGTCAAGATTATGTGGGAACATATTGTGGCAGGTATGTCCAGTATATCTTAAGAGAAAACATATACTTTCAGATAAAGAAGAATGTTTCTTCTGCAAACAGCAATGCAAATAAGAATCATGATTAATGCTGGCTGAATTGCAGCAGCGGTGCATTCAGTGTGATGGATTTTCTCATTCAGTGTTTGTACTAGGGGACTTTCTGTGGCTACACGTACCTTAGTGTGGTCCTCCAAGGTAGATGCAGCCTAAAAGTAGCTCTATGTTCTTATTTTGATTGCCATCTTGAGCCCAGACTCACCTTATATCCAAAATACCAAGATCATCAGGCATGCAAAATGTTGCAGCAAAGACTTGGCCAGGAGGCAAGACTACCGGGCTTTTTGCTGAGGTGGGGAGAAACACAATATTCAGAGATCGTGGTGGGGAATCGCACAGCAATGCTGTCTCTGGGAATGCCACGGACATAGGGAAGGTGGCAGGTAGGCATCTTGGCACTGGCAGCGAGTGAAATGCACATAGCCTAAAATGTAGATAAGGGACTCGGTGTGGAGAGAATGGAGGCACATGCAGCCACTAGCATGTGCAAAATTCTGGGACCTGGCATGATGTGAGAGGAAGGACTGCAATTATTTCCTCCTCGAGGAGAGAAGAATATACACTGCCTTGAAAAGAAGGAACAACAAGGAACAATCATAGAATCATTTGGTTGGAAAGGATTTTTAAGATCAAGTCCAACTGTAAAAATCAGGACTGGTAAATCTGTAGGGGGAAAACAAGTGGATGTTATTTAGAGAAGGGAATGCAGGATGAATAGTTTGGGCATGTGCCCTTGATATGCATGCTGGGAACATGGGAGCATATACAGAGCTCCAGGCTCTGGGGAGGAGAGGGGTAGAAAGAGTGGTAAGAGGTCCCAGGGAAAGCAAGGAGGTGGTGCATAGAAGGAAAGTAGGAGAAGAAAGGATGCAAGGAATCATTTGTCTGACAGCTATGAGGGCTGGACAACCCACAACAACTGTAAAAAGATAATAGTGTACTTAGTTCATTATAGAAAATAATAGTAAATGAGGCAGGACAATACCAAATTCTAGTCCTTTCAACAAATAAGATATTCAACTCTTCAGTGTCATGCACGGCTGAAAATATATCTATCTTTTTCTCCAGATGGAACTTGATTGTTTTTATTGCAAATTCCTAACACACTGTTCTCTAAACTTTTTTCAGCTATTCCCATGATATCCTAAGTAAATTCCATTTGTGCTGTTCTTTATTGAGGTTTCAGCTCCAGTGTTAAGGTGTAATTTTGCTATGAATTGTTTGCCATTGTACAACAAGGGTGTGCCACGTTTGAAATGCTAACAAAGGATGTGCTAGGAAAGAGAAGTTGAAAACATGAAGTTATACCAAAGATACTAGACACACATAAAATCTTACACTAGTTTTGCAGGGGGAAGTCCAGAGGTTCAGATGTCATAATTCCTAAAGGATACAGATGTAACCAAGCTCTGATACAGGCACAGTACCATGAAAGGATAAAAGAAGGGGAAGAGGTGAAGAAGACAAGACTGCAAAAGGAAACAGTGTATATTCGGTGTTTTAACAGCATTCACTGGGCATGGAGGCTGAGAAGATTGGCGTGACAAGGAAGTTAGAATGCAGAGTGTATGCAGCACAAAGGGAAAAAATGCAAAGATGTGCAGGGAAAGGGAAATGAAGAAACACAGCTATGTTCATGAGGACTGTGAACATCTCCTGTAAAAAGATGCTGCTGTTAACAGTGCTGATGGCAGAGCTTCCCCTGACCTCAGAGGTGCAGAACTAGACCTCAAGACCTTTTGCAGCTTCCCAGCTCTCCCACACAAGCTGTTTTTCTCTTGCCAGGACTGCAGTACTGTGGATGTTTGCTGGGTTTTGTTTTTACCCAGAAATTCACCTTGGAAGCCATCCTATTTCTTTGTTTTGACAAAATGCAGCCTGATGGGTTGCTGTCTGCTTAGCTACTTGAAACTTGGCTTGTTTTTCCCAAACTTTTTGGGGAAAAAAAATTGTTTTAAGAGTCTACAGCCAAAGCTTCCTTTTCAGCTCTTCTGAGTCATTACACTTAGATTCTGGCAGAGGTAGGGTGTTTTGTTTTTAGAATGGAAAAGATGGGTTAAGCCTCCACACGTGTGCAGGTCCAGCCAGCCAAATCTCTTTGGCATGTGATGAGGCAGATACCAGTTTTCTGGCAGTGCCTCTGTCCAGCCAGGCTGCTGTTACTTTTCTTTTCTAGCAAACCAGTTCAGCAAAGCACTTACATGCCAAACAGTAGCCATATGCTTAAATGTTTCACTGCATTTGAACTGTGTTCTCTGTTCATCACCTCAAAAGAAGCTGTACACTTGCTGATAATTCTTTCGGAAGTCGTATAGCAGATAAGGAGAACTGAGATAAAAACCTAACAGAGTCAGGGAAGCCAATGCTGTTGAGAACCAGCTTGAGCCTTAACTGAGATTTTGAGCTATGAAAAGCTCCAAAGTCAGGTTTATACCCCAGCTTTCTATAATTCCAGATTTTGAAGCTTCTTTTTGCATTTCCTAGCCCTCATCGGGACCAGTGCTGAAGGACATTACTGGAAGAGACTGGCTCTGATTACAAGCCTGCCAGCCAAGTTGTGCAGACTCCAGAGATCTTTCTGACAAGTGTCCAATGCTGAACTCTTGTCCAGATGGTTTGTGGTTTACAAACCACTAGTTACAATAATGAAGGTACAGATGTTGAACTGGAAAAGAGTGCTCAGTGGTCAGGGCATTAGCCTCAAGGCCAGGCTGACTGAATTCGGCTCCCTGCTCTGACATTGCTTGCTTGCCTGTCTTACCATGAACAAGAGACCCAGGGTGCAATTTGTATTCGTGCTTTCCAGTCAATTGAGAGAAATAACCGCCTTCAGATGAAACTCCCTCCAACTGTGTGTGTCTCTCTCCGTGTCCTCCAGATATCCTGGGAGCCTTGATGAATAGCTTCGGTGCCTAACTTAGAGAAATAAAGCTAGGTGACATGAATTCCAGCCTCTGGGCCCCAGTCCTGTATCAGTGTGACACTTTCTTGCCTCATATGGGCTTTTTAGGCTAAACAGATGAAAAGTGATGAGATGCTCAGCAGCTATATTCAGATAGATGTTTCTAGCTGATCTTACTGAGTGCCCTTGCTTCATGCGAGTCATGTCACTTCACTGTACTCACTGCTGATGGGATTGACCAGAGACAAAGCCAGAACACAGATGATAACATGTCCTTTGGTGCAAGTAACAGGCAAATTGTATCCCTTTCTTTTGTGGTCTTATAACCCTTTGGTGGAAGAAGTCAGCAAGGCAGGTTGGTGGTCACCCACATATACCTCTGAATTTTTCATCTAGGCAGTCAGCCAGTTTCTCTCTCAAGGTATGGATGCAGCTTTGGGGCATAGGTTGGATGCGTATAATGTTCAAGAAAATGCATTGAAATATATTTGGAGACACCCTAATGAAGATGGACAGATGAATACCTTTACTTGAAGAGTAGAATGGATTCATTGATTATATCAAAACTTGGACTTCTTTGATTTGGTTTATATTCTGAAACTTACTATACTGGGTGAAAATGAGTTCCCATGGGCTTCAAAAGGCTCCGGTGGTTTTGATAGATCCAAGATCTCATGAGAACAAGTATTTGTATCCTAAGTTACTCTTAGGATTATGACAGCAGGCAGTTTACTGGTAGAGTAGCAATAATTGTTCTGACTGAAATGTTGCTTTCCTACCATACAGGGGAACGAGGGAACTTTGGAAAAATGAATTCCAAAAATCTGGGCCTTCCCTATGACTACTCTTCAGTGATGCACTATGGCGCGTAAGTTGTTTTCTGAGATGTCTTTTCAAAGGAGCAAACAGCTTTCAGATCTTCTGCTCAGACCTAGGAAGAAAGAATTACTCTGTGCAGGGAATGACTTTTGCTGTTCACTTAAAATTCAGTGAATGGACATAATTAAGGGTGAGCAGACTTCCGTTGTCAGCAGGATTCCTGGACTTTGTCAGCAGGACTCCTGGAAAAGAATTGACACAGATAAAGAAAAAATTAGGACAATGTTTTCTTTCACTGTACTCTTGTCTCTTGTCTCTTGCTAGAGGCCTTTGACATGGCTATGGTCCAAAGTCTAACTCTGCAGAGTCACTGATCTAAAACAGTTCTGAAGTATAAATGATCACATTAATGTAGTAACAGCTGATCATAGACAACAATATTTAGGTACAGAGAAGAAAGATGGAATTTTTTCATATCATTAAGATGTTGTGTGCTGCCTCATATTCATCTGGGAACAATGTCCAAGGTTTCATTTTACTCCAAATGTACAAGCTTCTATTGTGTATCTTCTTTATCTCCACTAGCAAGTATCAACTTCTGAACAAAACTGTGAAATAAAACTTGTCTAGCAGGAGGCAGGAAATTGCAGATAGCAAATAAACAATCAGTAACTGAGGCAGAACTAGTCCTGCTTCTCTGTCTCTGGAACCATGAAGGTGGGATTCAGCTCACTTTGCCAGGACATTGGCAAAAGCTTTCCTCACTCAGGACAGGGCAGCTTTTTCTTGTTTCTTGCTGTCGGCTGCCACGCACAAAATGGCTGCCATGCTGGTCCTCTTCAGGGAAGACCAACTGGTCTCTGAGAAGCTTCTTGCCCTTTTCCATTGAAATTCTGTGCATGTGGTACATGAATATGCAGCTAGAGGACTTCACTGTTTACGTGACCTAGAAATGTGATTTCCTTATTTCTACAGGTATGATTTCTCCAGCACTCCAGGGAAGCCAACTATTGTACCAGTTCCTGACCCCTCTATACCCATTGGGCAGAGAGAAGGGCTGAGTAACTTGGATGTAGCAAAAATCAACAAGCTCTACAAGTGCAGTAAGTGCTGTAGATAGAAGGATTGTGAATCCTTATACAGCTGATGTCTATAGGCACTGTCAGACATCCCCCAAAGGAACTTAGCCCACAGTCCTTTAAATACATCTCTCTCTCACCCTACAAGAGGGCTGGTATGCATGTGGAAACAGACCTGTGCCAAACTGCTGCCTTCTTAGAAAGGACAACTTACTTTCAATAATCCACTGTCATTCTGAGTTATCCTCACCTAGTCCCTGCTCTTTGACATAAACAAAACCCATCAGAGAAATTGTGGTTGCTACCTCTGTCAACTTCTCATTTCAGGAAAGCTCTGGAGGTTGCAAGGCATGTAAGCTATCCTCAGCCACCATTATAGCTTAGTCTCATGTGCTTCAGGAGTGCCAGCAGTTTGTGATTTCTTTCAATTAGAAAATGACTGCAGGGCTGTAGGTATGGGTGCCATTTAGGCTGATCACAACATCTATTTGAGGGGAATCCCCCAGGCTTTTTGTATAGTTATCTACTTCCTTGCCCCATCCATTTCTTAACTCATCACTCTGGTATCTCAAGGTCTAGAAATACCTAGCATTCCTCTGTAGCAGGAACTCTTCAGTTGAGATGCACAAAACACAGGTAAAACATCAGGCGTGCTCCTGCAATGCATGTTTTTTGCCTCAACTCCTATTACATAGGCTAATTTGATTTAAAAGGTATTTGACTTTCCTGAGATGTTACTCAATTAGTTTCCACCAAAACAGCAAGAAACGTTAACATGGCCTTAAATATTAGTGTACCAAATTCTGCTCTGAATTATGTTATAACTTAGTTAAATAAACTAGATCAGTAATTAGTGGGAATCAGCATTCCTGTTGGATAGTTAGGTACAGAAATCATTGCTGAGAGTGGTTACTCCCAAATTCTTAACTTCAAAAAAGGCAAGTTTGCAATTTGAGTGTCTGTCATGGCCTTAAAGATAGTGATAAGTATTTAATGATACTTATTCTTGATAGTGGGGCTGGGAATGAATCACACTTCAATACCATTATTATGCAATATCATAATTAGATCTGTATGTTTTGGAAGAAAAGGGCTAAATTAAAAAAAAAGAGAAAAACTCGGGGGCTAAAAAAAAGGACAAGTCTGGTTGTCTCAGGGAAAGTAGGGAGCAAGAGAAAAATGTCATAAATTCATATGTTCAGATGTCATATATTCATATTTTGTAATTTGGGGAGTTGCACATAGTGCAATAAATGAAGACTACATGTGGAAAGATGAAAGACAGATGAGATCAGACTTTGTATACCAGTCACTAGGTCTGTAGCTTGACTTCAGTGCTCTCTGTTATTGTTTTCCCCAGTGACTATCCCTCTTTGCTTTGACAGAATCTAGTTTTCAAGTTTCATTTTTTGCATACACATATGAATACACATATATTTGCTGATGGGAATTGATGTACTGATGTCATTGGAACTACTCCTGTGACTGAAGTTAAGGAAGTTCATGAAAGATACAGGCCTTTTTTAGTAAATTAAAATGTGATTGAAGCCCTACTGTTGTTAAAAAAAATATTAGTAGCCAAAGCAGGTAAGTAACTTAACTAGCTTTATTTCAATCGTGGGTTTTGAATAACTTTTACCCTAGGAACATCAACAAAATTGTAAGCATTATAATTCATTTCTCTTTTACAAGCTTAACTGATGCAAATGGAGACTTATCAGATGTTTCTGAAAGACTTTTGTGTAGTTTTCATTCTCTTCAACACTATTTGGTTCTTCCCTTCAGATCGCTGTAGCTCTGTATTGCCTAAATCCAAAGGCTCATTCTCCTCTGTCAATTACCCATCCCCATACCCGAACAATAGCAACTGCCTGTGGTTGATCCGCATCCATCGGAGTAAGGTAATTTTTATTAGGAGAAAAAAGGTTTGAACCACAGTGTCAAGGCTACACATTTCCCCCATCAACCCCATGCAATGCTACAGGCTTGGAGATAAGCAGCTGGAAAGCTGCTTTGCAGAGTAATCTGGGGGTACTGTTCCACAGCTGACTGAATATGCGTCAGCAGTGTGTCCAGGTGGCCAAGAGGGCCAATAGCATCTTGGCTTATGTCAGAAAGAGCATGCCCAGCAGGACCAGGGAAGTCATCCTTCCCCTAAACTTGGCACTGGTTAGGCTGCACCTCGAATATTGTGTTCAGTTTTGGGCCCATCACTATGAGAAGGACATTGAGGCACTGGACTGCGTCCAGAGAAGGGCAACAGCTGGTGAGGGGTCTGGAGCACAAGTCTGAGGAGCAGCAGAGGGAACTGGGGTTGTTTAGCATGGAGAAAAGGAGGCTGAGGGGAGACCTTATCACCCTCTACAACTGCCTGAAGGGAGGCTGTAGTGAGGTGGATGTTGGTCTCTTCTCCCAAGTAACAAGTGATAGGATGAGAGGAAATGGCCTCAAGCTGTGCCAGGGGAGGTTTAGATTGGGTATTAGCCCTTTCAGGGAAGAAATTTTTCCTATCAGGCACTGGAATGGGCTGCCCAGGGAAGTGGTCGAGTCCTCCTCCCTGGAGGTATTTAAAAGACGGGTAGATGAGGTACTTAGGGACATGGTTTAATAGTGGACTGGTATGGCTGGACTCAATCTTAAAAGTCTTTTCAAACCAAATGATTCTATGATTCTATGATTTCATTATTATGTCTACCCTCTGGGAGTAATTTTCATGGACTAAGACATTTATTTTGTTATGCAGTGAATGAAAAGACAGTCTCAACAATTTTCATAAGACTTAAGACTACCAGATGTATTATTCAACTTGATTTTTATCTAGTTAAGATTGGATGGCTTTTCAAAGACAAGCAGTAGTCAGACATGAATCACCAGGCTCAGTAACAGAGTAGCTAGGTGAAATTCTATGCTCTTTTTATACAGAAAGTAAAATTTCAATGATACATGGATAGTAAAATGAATATGAAGCCCTAGTTCACTTCATAACAATTAGATGGTTTGTTTCTTTCCCTGTGTATAGCATTAAACCTCACATCTGTTTTCTTGTTTCTCAAGATTTTCCTGCAGTTTGAGGCTTTCGATCTCCAATCCTCCTCAGACTGTTCTTCTGACTATATAAAAATTTACAACGGAAACAGCAAGAATTCCCCTGTCCTGCTAGACAAATACTGTGGGAAGGGGCCACTGCCCTCCCTAGTGGCATCTGGATCGACAGTGCTGGTAGAGTTTGCAAGTGATGAGAGACTTACAGCTGCAGGATTCAGAGCCTCCTACAACAGGGGTATGAAGACTCCTTTACAGAGGTTGGAGAAAAGCATTAATAGTATTTGTATGGCAGAACTGAAAATTTTGAACATGTACTCCAGAGTATTTTTTGTGTTATTCTTTACACTTCCATAGCAATTACTAATGCAGAAGGCTAGGCAATGATGGGGCTGAAGATTAGCAGGAAACAGAAGACGGGATGTTGCATGGGTCTCATGTTAGCACTCCTGAGAACCCGCCCACGTACTCTGCTGAGAGCCTCTGCTAGGCTTCTTCATATATTTAGTACAATTTCTTTAAATAAAAACAATGCAATGACTGTAACTAATAGGAGCAGTGCAGGCAATGAGATGTAAAGCCAGTATCTGGGCGATATGTTATTCAAGGTTTTGTGGCATTTTATGCAATGGGAGAGGTACTAACTATGGGTAATTTACACTTTCTGAAGTAAAGGCTTCTGTTATGTTACATGAAACACAGTGCTTACTGTAGTCACTTGAGAGGTGTCTGTTTATGAACATACAAATGCATTATGGACTGCTGGATAAACTTCTGTTGTGCTGCAACATGCTTTCAGTTAGAAGGCAGTACCCCAAATAACTTGTTATTGCCTTATTTCAACTAAAAATGCAAACTTTTTTAAAGCATAAATTGAAGAAGTCTTAGAAATGTGTAATTTTTACTCTTTTTGCATTAGTCTTGATGGAGTCATTTCTAGATAGCATTAGGTCTAGCTTGATAATGCAATCTTTAATACTTGGGCTAATTCTTTTCTGAAAGGGCAGTAAGTTAGCACCATTAGAATGCTATGCTAATACGGTAACACTCAGTTGTAAAGACAGATATAGCTTTAGATGCAGCTGTTTCCTGTCCTCCAAAGGTTATTTAGCAGCCATGTTTTTAGTTCCTTCAGTACAGCTGCTGATACAAATACTAAAGAAATAAAATATTTCAGCAGTAAGAGTGTCATGGTAGCACATTTTTTCTTGGCTTGAAGAAAGAATACAATAAGCAAGCTCACTTCTGCAGCCAAAATACTCTTGTTAATATGCCTTTCTCTGGTTTTGTCCTTTACTCCTCAGTGAATTGCGGAGATACTTTCACAGACTCAAATGGAGTCATCACCTCTCCAAACTACCCCAATAAATACCCCAAAAACCAAGCATGCTTCTGGGTCATCATTTCTCCAGTTGGATACAAGGTAAGTCACAGATGAATTCATTTGTGGGTTTCATCAGTGTTTGCTAATGGAATGAATTTTTTGCCTTGGAGATTAGCAACTGTAATGTCACTTTTTGAGCAGGCATTCTCAGAATAAAAATCTGAACACAGAAATCCAGTTTAAGAACTTGTGCTGGATCTTGGTATCTGAGGTGTTCAAAAAGGGAAAACCTTTACACATGCATGTGGACTCTTACCTTGTACCAGTAGGCTTTGTTCAGAATAATCCCTAGGTAAGAGTTCCCACTAGAAAATGGAAACATTGCACGGGTGCTGTTTTTATATTTCTCTAGAGAAAAGAATTTAACATGTACAAGATCAGTCTTGTCCCTTGCTTCTCCTTCCAATCCAAATGCTGATGAACCAAGTAAATAATTTGCTACTAATTTGCATTACAATACAGCATCAGGATGTGGTGCAAACACAGAATAAAAACCAGTGCCTGCACATAAGGAATTTAGACTACTTGTGCTTGCTACATACAAAGGGCAAGAGAAAAGGATATAACCTGCAAGCAAAATGCTTTGGTTGTATTTTCTCCAGATATCTCTCAAAATGTTATCCTTTGAGCTGGAAGATAGTGACAGATGCATCTATGACTACTTGCTCATACATGATGGAAGCCGACCTACATCACCTGCAGTTGGCCCTTACTGTGGGATAGAGAAGGTTGCAGACTTTACTTCCACTGGGAACTTTGTGCTGGTTGAATTTCACAGTGATATCGTTTGGGAATTGCCTGGATTTGCAATGAGTTATACGTACGGTAGGTAGTACTATACAGATGGGAGTTGGAAAACACAGAATGAAAGTAAGAGACCAGATGGCCACAGGTAAAAGTAAAGATGCCACCAACTTAATCAAAAAATACAGCTCCCTGATACCTTTAACAAGCTTGAAGCTTGATCTCTTGGTCTTATGTCTACAGTGGTATAATTTGCATGGTGAATTATGGACAAAAATGTTCCTACGCATCGGATGCTTGTGTCTGAGACTGTAAACTTTTTGTTATAGTATTCCCATTGCTGGTGTTGCATGGTGAAATACAATAGCCGAACTGAAACTGTGTAAGCAGATTTTCAAGAGCTTCCAGTGTTAGAAACAGTGCCCATAAAAATTTCAGAACATGGCTATGTAGCAACTTTAACCTGTATTCTGACAAATGTTATTACCCAACCCTAATGTGCATTCCAGTATGCATACAGAAAAACCTTCAGACACATTTGTTTATGCTTTGAAGCCAAGCTCACTTACACAGTTTGTACAGGTACCTTAGCTAAGCCTGGAAATCACCACTTTACACTGAAGGTGCAAACTAGGATGTTTGTACAGCATCTCAGCTCAAAGAATTGCACCGCTCCTCTGAGATGAACCAGGGCAGGGATCAGATTTAACTAAGGAAATGATTAAGAGTGGCAGGAACAAGCAGTGAGGGAGAGGGAACAGAGCAAAGCACCTATTGTTGCCACTTTGCTGTGGCCTGTGTCAGGTATTGAATTTGTCCACAGGGTATTACCAAAATATTTTTTAAAAATGAGGCCTGAAAACCTATTTCAAAGTCCACTGAATGTAAATGGAGCCAGTAACTCTGGAGAATGTATTAGGCATGAAGTACCTTGTCTGCGGAGAAAAGTCTTCCACCTGTAAGGAGACATCTGAAGAGGAGAAAGAAATCACCACTGTAGACAGCTTAACACTTTGCCTTGACTTGATGTATTCAGAACTAAATGCTAGTGCCAAACTGGAATGAATTATAAAAGTTCTTGCTGCAATTACACCTTTGTGAAGAAGAGCACATAGAAAATGCCAGTTTGCTTTCCTGGCGCTAGGAAGGCAGCCAAGAAAATTTTGATTTATGCTGACTTTTGGGTTTGGTTTTTTTTAAGGATCTGTAATGTTTTCCTTTTTAAGCACTGGTTAATTTTCACCCTCAGAAGAATGATAATTGGTAAGTTGTGGACATCAGGGTCTAGAGCTTGCTTGCATCATGGTGGGAAAGTGCATGGACATATTTGTAGTTCTTACAAGCTCCTGTCTTCTGGCTATAAAAAGTATTCCTTCATTTAATTTGGCTCACTATTTAGATTGGCACCTTTTTGAAGGATGTAACAATTTCAGCAGCATGAGAGAAAATTAAACTCTATTTTTAACTTCAACTTCAGACTGTACAAAGCTAATTCTTCTCCCTGAGTCTGAGGACTTCATGGAGGTGCAAAAGTAATAACTCCATGACAACTGTTACTGTATACAAAGTTAAATGGGTCCCCATTATAAATGTACAATGCTGAACAGCTTTCTATCTCAAGCATTACTTTAGATTCCCTTCCCATGGCCTGATGTGTCCATAGGTCCACTGTTTTAGATGTTCACCCCTGTTTGGTAAAGGAGCATGAACAACATGTTGAAACAACAATGTACCATATATAGGAATATTAATCTTGCAACTTGTCTCTAGAAATATGGTTTTAAGTAGGAGTCTGAGACATGGCAATGTGACTTCATCAGGGTGCTTTATTTGTAATCAAACCCTTCCTGCAGGCAAGTTGTAAGCCCTAAGGGCACAGAGCCTGACTAAAGACTCCAATCTCATTTGTTTTGAAAACATGAATTCAACAGTAATGATGTAGAAATGCATTCCTGAATGTACAGACAGGCTGAAATATAATGTGATGAGTAAGTTCTCTCTTTCATAGGAAAGGCTTTTAAGTCTGATATCTAAAGGTTCCCCTTTTCATGAGTTCTGCTTTCCTTAGCAGTTAGCTGGAGCTTCCACACATGCTCCAAACCACCTCCTGACCCTCTGCAGATACCAAAATCTTCAGCTTTCCTCTAATTATTGCTAAAATCTCTGGTTTCCTGCCACCAGTCTCCACTTCAGTTATATATTACTCATCTATAAATCTGTGGTCCACCAAATGGGAAAATGCAAGATACAAAACATCCTGATGAATGGCATTCTTCTTATCATGACTGCTGCTCATTTTTACCCACAGTTAGTTGCCAATCTTAAATGGAGAAGCTGTAGAATTCACAAACACTGCTAAGAGCTTGGGTGACTTGCATCTAACAGACACTAATCCTCCCACAACAGGCATTGCCCATATACAAAAATTATTAATAAGCTTGCTACAAACATTCATATTCTGAGATATATGAATTAAGAATGACCAACCAGTAGAGACAATGGACAGTATAGCCAGAAGTTTAAGATTCAAATACCACCATAGGAGGATTTTTAGAGGTTCTAATGGAAGTTCAGCATTCACTTACCACACTTTTGAAATCCAAAATGTAAGGATTTAACCTTAAAAACCAGAGGTGTCTAGAAGTGGTGAATATATGTATGTATTCCCATATATGTATATACCTCAACACAAACAGGTATTACCTTAGGTGCGTGCAAAACCAGATCTGTGCTGAAAGAGACCCATTTCCATAAGCCTGTGCATGTGGAAGAGTGTTTGTGTCCATGTATTTCAATCTTACCTGCTTTGGGACTGTCCATATTCCTATCTGGGAGGCAAATCAAGGCCTTCAAGTGCTATGCTTTTGTAATCTGTAAGAAACAGAACAGAGATCTGTCAATTACTGCTGTAGGAGAAAACCAGCCTGGAATAAAGCACTACAGAATCATGGGGAAAAAAAAGATGTACTACTCATAGGTCTCTTTTTTTGTGTGTTTAATTTAAACCACATTTACCTTACATAAGTAAATAACTGTGGTTAAGACAAAGCTTGCTTGAATGACTAGAACCCCAATGCCTGACAGAAAATAAGGGCAGCTTTTGGCATGCTGATAGTACAGCTGGTTCCTCATCTAGAAGAAGGAAATGAGCCCACTGAAATAGCAAGAGAGTACTGAAACGCGGTTTTCAGTTTCACTGGTGATGATCTGCCCTTTTTATCACACTGAACTGCAAGGCGAAGAAGCATTACAGCCTGGGAGATTTAGTAGGCAGATGGCTGCATTTTGAATTAATCTGAATTCTTTCAGACCAAAAGTTTTACTTCTAGATGCATTCCATTATAGTAGTTAAGCCCCAAGATTACCAAGGCCAAGTTTTATACACTGGGGTACAGTTTCACAGCAAGTTAGAGAAGAACACAGCATTTACAGCTATAACTGTGTAGGACAGGGAACGCACAACTTACTGTGCAACAACTGAGTTTGGCAAGAAGACACGTGAATCAAAGACCATTTAATCTCTCCTACACTTCAAACAGAAATTAAGAAACCTTATGGGCTAAGTTATCACATAGGATTTTGATAATCGGAATTCCCTTTATCACGGGAAACATCTGCAGGCAAGAGAAGAAATAAAGAAAAGCAGCTTGCTGCTCAGCTGCCAAATGGCCTTCTGGTTCAGGAGCTGGAAGAACTGTGGGAGCCGGGCCCCCTCTGGTGGACAGCGGCAGGGGAACCTGAACGCGCCTCCGTCTTCTCCAGACACGAGGGAGCGAGTTCTTCTCCTGCCCTGGTCAGGACTCATAGTTCCATCCAGCAAAGTCAGCCGAGGCGTTTACTAAACAGGGAAGCTCAATTTCTTTAACTATCTTGCTCCCTCCTGTGCAACTCTGTTGGTGCTGCTCTCTGGACAGGGAAGGTTTTTTGGGTCACTGCTCATATTTTGCATTAAAGAGCGGCACTCCAAATTACACCTGTTAATTGGTAGGTTGCACTGTAACGTTCAGGTTGAAATTGCCTCTTCCTCTTTTCCCACTGACCAGCTCAATAGCAAAGGCAACATCAAAGGAAGTCTTTTATTTGAGTCGATTCTGGTTTATATCTGTCTTGATTCCCTGCTTTATGCCCACAGCACCTGGAATTTCCAGGTGGCCTCCAATACAATTGCTGGACAGGTGCAAAGTTCAGCTTCCAAGTCTTATACAGTTGCCTTTCTAATGTTCTTTACCATTAAAAAAAGCCCTGAAAGCTTGACAGGGAAAACCCTGATTTTTTTCCTTTAAATTTAGCTTGGTTCAGATATCTTCTTCCCTGAATAGATCAGTCAGTTTCCTAACTTAATTATGTAGGTCTTTACAGGGTAGACTTTATCTATTAAACTGGAAAGAATGCAAAATGTAATTGCAAACCCACACAATTAATGAGATGACTCATGGGAACCAATGGTATCTAAAACTACACTCAGTAACTTTTTTTACAAACACTGTAGGACATTCACTTCCAAAGGTGTGCAAACAAACACCGGCAGAAGTATCGGCTGGGGATAACTGGGGTTTTGCAGTTCAGGTGATTTCATGCTCTTCTGATCTAGGATCTCACCACAGGTTTAAGACTTAAAAAAACCCAAACAAACCAGAATAACCTGAGTGCAACCCTCTCAGCATTAGAGAATACACTTTTTGTCTTTTTAACACCCAACGGCAGCTAATGGGCAAAAATGCAACACCCTACAAACGATGCCTGCTGTACCGGGAGTGCCGTGTCTGGAGAAGTGGAACTGCTTTAAGCAATGGCCCAGCTACCTAACGAGAAACCCACGAAGGACCCAGCCTGCCGGTCCTCCCCCTCCCACCTCAAAGCGGCATTGCCTTTCGGTACTGCGGGAACAGAGAGCAC